AGATCTCTGGGCTCCTCACTGCTGGAAGAATAAAATCGGGGTTCTTGGAACACATCCAGACCCCTCTGACCTGGCCCATCTGCCCTAGCTTTTCCTTCCACCCTCGGCTGCAGCCAGCCTGGGTCACCCATCTGCCCAGGCATCTTCTAGCCTTTGGCTGTTTCCCTGCCAGTCTTGTGTTCCCAGTTCCTATTGACTGTCACTGCAAACAAGATGGACCCCTCCCCTCCTTCCCACCACCATGTCACATGTCCTCCAGCTCTTTGAACCCCTTCTTTGGCAACTGTGCTCACTGCCCCCTTGTGACACACACAGTAATAATGACAATAATGCACTAATGAGTCAGCTGTTTTACACCTACTCACTGTTTAATTTCTACACTAGCCCTCTGTAGGTACTACACCCATCTGCACAGGTACTGTAACCATTTCCACAGAGCAGAGGCAGTGGATCGCATGGCTGGCAAGTGGCAAAGTCAGGCTCCTCTGCTTTGGTCTCCATTGTGCCTCTGTGCTGGGAGTTTTGTTCTCTTGTAGCATTTAGTGACTAAAGTTAGTAACTCTTAATAAGGGCTAGCAGGCTACTCATGCCATCTGCTATTATCATCGTTATTACAGAAGTTATCAGGCACTATTCTAAGATGGTGGACTTTGTTTCCTTTTGGCTGTGAATTTATGGTGATTTGGTAGCAGGAAAGAGCACTGAACTTGGAATGAGAGAATCCTCAGTTTCCACCTAGCTTTGACTCCTACTAGCCACCCTTGGGTAAGTCAAGTCACCACTCAGAGCCCCAGTTTCCTCATCTGTAGCACAAGGGACCCTGGCTAGATGACTCCTGAGGTCTCTACTGGTTTAGAGTTTGAAAATCTGTAAACCAGAGGTCACTAGCGTGTATGCCCCAAGGTTCTAAGAAGTGGTAAGGAGGCAAAGTGTGAGGCTTTCTCGTTCAATGTGTGTATGTACACGCTGTCATTGTCCCATTCATTCTATACATCCTATGTATGTTATGCATATATACACGCATATATAGAGAGAATAGTGAAAACTGTTCTTCAGTTATCTCATTACAGCCTCATACCATATATATGAATCTATGCATATATGTCTATATATGTGCATGGGTATTCACACACACACACACACAGAGAGAGAGAGAGAGAGAGAGAGAGAGAGAGAAAGAGCGCACATGCCAATACCAGCTGTGTACCAAGCATTTTCCTTAGCAATGCTAAGGGGATCTGGAATGAATAAAACAGTCTCTAATGTCATGGAGAGGGAGATGCTGAAAATAAACTGATGATTAAATATGTAACTCAAAATCAGATACGAGGACTGAGGGTCAGGATGGTGGCAGAAGGGATGAGCGCCCTGAGGACACAGAGCACAGGTTTGAATGCTGCCAGGGAACAAGCTGAGCACTGCAAACAGAGGGAATAGCTGTGCAAAGGCCCTAACGTAGGACTCAAGTGCATTCCTTTGAGCTGCAGAGTGACTCCTGGAGTTGAGATATGGTTTTACTTGAGACAGGTAACATATTGAACTGCTAATAATTTATTTGGTGCCAGCGTAGAGTGTGTAGTGGGAAGCTCTGGCTTGAGCCAACAGTTGGGACTACCCCTGAGAAAGACACGTATCCACTCTGACTCTCAGCTGTTTTGCTCCTGACATGGGAAAAACGGTGTTCACCTGTTGGTTTTTCTCCTGTACACGTGTGACTGTTCACATCCTCGGATAAATGTCAGAAAAGCCTCCCATCTGTTCAGGTCATGAACCCAACAGGAAAATATGGTTAGGTTTCAGAACTGTAGGGATTTCAGATAGCAGGAACTGACATTTTGCCATCCAAGTATCAGGCTTTTCCTTTTCAAAATCTGTCAGGACCATTTATCCCTGGAGGGCCAAGGCTTGGCTCAGTGTACAATACCTATAAGGTACCCAAAAATATTTGCTCAGTGAATGATAGAGCTTATAGAAAACTCCTACTGTGATCAACCCCATTTTGAGAAATCAGCCCTCCAGTTCCTTCCCGAGGCCCTTTAGACTTAGCCCATTCCTTCTAAGAGGCTGGAAATCTTACTGTTTCCATTGGGCTCTCATAAGGAGAGGGAGGGATGCTTGTGGATTCCTTTCTTTTCTTTTTTCCCTTTTCCTTCAGACCTTGCAACTAGGGAAAGAGGAGTTAGAGCCACTGGTTTAGAGACAATTGGGTTAATAAATTAAATTTATCCAGAACAGGAGATGAATTCAAAATTTTCCTTCCTTAGCTTTTGTATACTATTGCTAGATGTAGCAGTAAACTCCATGAATAATCCAATATTTTGTTTTTGTTTTTGTACAAAATGCTTGGTATGTCAGGAATTGTGGTTCCCCAGGTTTGGCTCATAAAGATTGGGGTTCTTTTGGCAATTTATACACTTACATTCAGGCTTCACTCATTTAGAGCACACTGTGACATAATCATGTCATCATAAGGAGGTCGCATATGTTAAGCACTTGTCATAAACTTTGCTCTTTATTGTTGTTGATAGTAATATTAGTCATATCAGTCCTCTTCATGGTTGAGGTGACTCAGCACGGGCACAAACCAAAGGCAGGTGTAGCCTCACATTCTTTCACGTGGACTGTTTTAGCCAGGATGGGCTGAGTTGTGCTTCAGTGACAAACAATCTTCAAGCTTTGCATCTCAACATTGCAATAGTTTATTTATGGACCATGCATTGTTCTCTGTGGACCTAAGTGACTATCAGGACATCTGTCTACTTGGCTCCATTTGGGGCTATTTTATAAGTGAGGCTTCATCCGAAGGTTTGTCCTGTTGATAATCACAAGTAATGTGGAATTAAGTTGTTTAAAATTGGTGCTCTAGACCATAGCATGCAGAGGAAAGAGCAAGGCAGCAATGACTTTGTAAAGACTCCCCTTTTCTTAGTAGCTTATTTTCTAGATGGACTGTTTTCCTACTTTTCCATGAAGCTTATTATAATGATCTCATTTTCCATGGCCTCAGGGGATGCTGCTCTCCAAATCTTGAGGCAATGGGCCTTAGCAGAGGCCTCTGTGCCTGGTTTCTATCAGGTACCACAGACCCTGAAGGCAAATGGGTTTGTTACTGACTTTCACAGCTTCCGGGGCCCAGGCCCCACTTGGACTGGGCCTTGGGAGGGAAATGCCTTTTCTCTTGGACCCTATCAGATTGTCATTCAAGGCTAGGAAACTGGACTTTCCACTTTGCCAGTGCCTGTTCCCTTCACTAGATTGGCTCTAGGCTAACCTACTGCAAGGGACAGGGACTCCATTCAGTTGGGATTTTCTTTCCCAAAGTCATAGACACTGAGCATCTTGATTTGAATCTAGTAAGTTGAAGGAATGGAGGTGGCTGTCTGTGCTGCTGATACCCATGGCACTGACGAGGCTGCTGATTGTGGAAAAGACCTGGAGCATAAGGGTGGCGCTGTGAAATTGTGAGTAAGTGGTATCTCCCCCTGTGAAATCTCAATACCCTCAGGACAATGCAGTTTAGGTTTCCAAGCCACACTCCTCTGTTGGGGATTTTACTCTTGAGAAGTCTCTGTGGCAACAGAACCGTTTTCCCCCATGAAGTTAATGTCAAGGTCTCAAGAATCCAGGGCATTTTAAGGAAGGGGTCCAACCTCATTACTGCCAGGAATAAAATTCATCCAAGGTGAAATGTCCTCTGTTAGAACTCAAAACTGTCTCAGATTGGCTTTTCTTTCTCCTTTGTTTTTGAAGCTAAGCAATTACCTTTTCTTTTTCTTTTTTTTTGGAAAAAATGCACTAATGCACAAAACTCTCTTTTCTCCCTTTCATTTATTTGAAATTGAACTTAACAAAGTCAGTTCCAAGCAAGCACTATATATGAGTAATGCTTTTTGTCCATAAAAGAGCATTGACTCCAGTGCTCTGAGAGTGCTGATTCTCTCCCTGCTTTGTGTGAGCGTCCATAATGACAAAGAGCTCGTGTCACAGTGTATAATGAAACTATAAATTGTTTTCATGAATGCTCTGAATTTGGTCTTTTACGGGGCAAATTCAAAAGGTATGTAGAGCCACATTTCTCATATGTGAATAACACCAGGTGGTGCAATAATCCAGTAAAAGTAGGGAGACCTCACCAGGCTCCCCTGGCCAATGTGGAGGGTGAGTGGCAGGTGAGGGGGTTCCTGGTGCGGGCAGTGGGGAGGAAGTGGGGTGAAGAGTTCCCATCATTTGGAGACAAGAGCTCAGCTGTTTGGGAAGAATTCCAAGTGAGGCTCAAATACTTAGCTCTGAAAACAGTAATGGTCACCTGCATTGGGCCATAGAAGCCATTCATATTAGTGATGCCGAGTTAGTGGACAGAATCTCAGTGGGTTAAATGGGCAGGAGCAATCTAGTACAGTGATCCATGGTTCAATTAAATTAATTAATTAAATTATTAATTAATTAAATTATTTTGATCATATTTTTGGGTATTTTCTAAATTATGAAACCATATGGGTTTATCCTAGAAACATTCAAAAATGCAGAAAAGCATCAAGAAAAATTTTAAATCTTGAGCAAAAAATTTATTACCAAGAGTATTGTTAGCAATATGTTTACAAAATTTTGGGGAATATCCTTATGGATATTACTTGGTAAAATTTTGATAAAATTTTATGTAATCTTGTCTGGATGGATATATTTTTTAAAACAAAATTGAAGCCCAGCTATCTATTTACTGATCTATGTAATTTTAAAAATACATTCTGCTTTTTTAACTTATTTGTTAATTAAATTCTTTTATCTGTCCCAGTTTGTGGAAGTTTATGAATGTCCAAAGTTTTGGTTCTGTGTTGGGGGAAAGGAGAGACATACCACATGTCACACACTATAGCAGCCTTTATATACATGTGTCACTCACTGGCACATGTCCTGTGAAAATGGCAGATGTGTGAAGCCAGGGTGTGTGGAGCAGAGACCCTCTGGTCCTTTCTGACCCATCTGGTGTGCTTGTTCCGCAGTACCTGGTGTGTAAGAGGAAGCTGGAGAGCAAGAAGGAGGCCCTGCTGATCCTCTCCAAGGAGCTGGACACCTGCCAGCAGGAAAGGGACCAGTACAAGCTCATGGCCAACCAGCTCCGGGAACGCCACCAGTCCCTGAAGAAGAAGTACCGAGAGCTGATTGTAAGTATTTCACGACAGTGGTGGTCCTGTGCCCTCGATGAAGACAGGGAGAGGGGACTTCACATTTTTGTTCTTGAAAAGGATTGCCTTCAAACAGTTCCAAAGTGGGATAACGAAGAAGCGAAGAAGCCAGGTCGCCACCCTGTTTCCTCTTGGTCCCCATGTGTGCTTCCAGACCACTTGTCTGTGCCTATGTACAGATGCACAGAGACGGTGTGCTCACGCGTGGCTATTTGCTTATTATTTGCTGATATGGATGGAGCCCAGGGCCTGTGGTGCTAGGCAAGTGCTCTACCACTGAGCAACACAGCGCAGAATGCCCCGCTTTTTTTCTTACTTTATTTCAAGAATTAAATAAAATTAGAAACTCACTTCCTCAGTCTCAGTTGTCACATTTCATGGGTTCAGACTCTGCAAGTGTCACATTTCATGGGATTGTGTGGACATGGGACACATCAAGGTGGCTGCTGCATGGGGAGGGATAGAGAAGGTGAGAGACAGACAGACACTCACTAGATATCCCAGGCTGACCTCCAACATACAATCCTCCTGCCTCTGCCTCCTGAGCGCTACGATTGCAGGCTGCACGAGTCTCTCTCTTTTAAGTGCAGACAGTATTCCAGCATTTCACCATTGGGCTGGGCCGTTGAGCTGCCCTGGAGTAGAAACTAGTGGGAAGTTTCCTGAGGTTTGATAATGCAGACTTACATGTGGGGAGCATTTATGTAAGTGAGGTATTTGTATTCACAAATGCACACAAGGCAGGAGAGGTCAATCTTTAAAAGGCAAAGTGCCTAGTAGGTCTGGAAGTTCTCAATTCCAGTTATTTTGAGCAAGTCCTAGTCCCCATAGATGATACATGTGTGTGTGACAATACTTGTGTGTGTGTGTGTTTATCAGCCTCTGTTCCTTTGGTTCTATTTAAAAAAGGAACTCAAACCAAATGAAATACTTAGTTCAGGTTAGGCTCTGCTCGAAAATAATTTTGTCAATCCAGGTTATTTTTAGTTGACATTGTTTTAGAAAATATGTTTGGTCCTAACTGGAACTGATTTCCTAGGAGTTTCCCCAAAATCATTTTGGTTTGGTTTATATTAAAATTTTTAAAAGGGTGGTTGAGCTTGCTTCTGCACATTACCAGTTGCAGGGAGGTAAGGATGGACCTGAGTTTTGGCTCAAGTTTGGTTCAATTGGGTGAGTCTAAGCACATCAATTTTTAAAAAATAATAAACTGTATTTGTTTCTTTGTAGGATGGAGATCCATCACTTCCCCCCGAAAAGAGGAAGCAGGTAAGACTTATTGGTGGTCTTCAGTAACTGAGGTTAGGACCAGTGTTCCTTTGTAACACTTGGAAGGACCAGGGAATCTCTAAATGTATAAAGCAAACTTCTGTTTTCCCAGAATCCTTTGTGTTACCGGAGGAAGGAGGAGGATGGGAGCAGAAGTTCTGCCAGTGGAGAGGGGTGAGGTGAGGGAGGCAGCCCCATCTTGCAGGTAGAGGAGGTGCTCCAGTTGGCGGTGTTCCCATAGTCCTGTGGAATTCTGTTGGAAACTGAGTTGAGGGCCCATGGCAATAGCACTTTGGCTACTAATTGGAAGATGTGCACCATTCTGCCTTTTAGATCCTTCTCCTCACTGAAAGCCATCTCCATCAAGACTTACAAGCCATTGACTTGTTTTTCTCTGCGTGGTACCACAGACACAATGCAGTTTATTGACTAATCCGTTTTCCCACCTCCTTATAAACACATGCCTCTGTTTCTGGACTTTATGATTTGTTCCTCGGGCTTTCCATATCGTCCTGTGACTGTGCCACAGAACTCTTCCTGCTTTACAGCATTTTTAATATGTTTGGGCCAGTCTTCTTTCCTTTGTGTTTCCTTTTCAGATAATTCTTCTTTGTTACCTTTTCCAGATAAAACACAGAAACACTTTACTAAGTCGCACTCAAATCCAATTGGGATTTTGTTAAATTTGTTTCATTAAATTGATAAAAGTAAGCATCAAACTTTGTTAGATGATAAAAGTACACATCTGAGTTTGTCAGATGATAAAAGTGGGTGTCTGAATTTGTTAAATTTGTTTTGATTTTTTTGATGCTGGTGAACGATAAATTTGTTTTGTTAAATTTGTTAATTTATAGCATAATTTGGTCTCCCTCATATACATAGTGATCTTTTCCAAAGATTCTATTGTTAGAACAATCCTTAACTTCACAATTTTTCAGTACTCACACATGCCCTGAATCAGAGATGTTCGTGTGCCCAGATGGTGGCATGTGAATGCTGGTATGTCCTGTGTTCTGAGAGCCACTGCACTTGAGCAGGACTTCAGAACTGGTGGATCCAAGCAGGACACAGTGATTGTCTGCCTGTTCTCTACTACAGTGGCCACCAGCATCCTGTATTCACTGGTGATGTCATTGACCACAGTATGTGTGACGTCCTGTTCATTGATCCTTTGCCAGGCACTACATGTAAAATTCAGGGGGTCATTTACTTGATATTTTGATGCTGGTGAATAGTATACACTCCCCCCGCCCGACACACACACTTAGGACTTTTCTCCTTAAACTACAACTGAGCCCCACAGTCACCCCTACAGTTGCTCAGTGCTACTCATTTCCATACTCCTTCCTTGTTTATGTGATTAGTTTGTAAGTCCCAATGTTTGAGCTAAAGTCTAATTTTTCTGCACAGTTAATTGATTTTTTTTCTAAACAAAGTTGCATGGAAATTTATCATTACTGTTTTAAAACTGGAATTCTTAATCTCAACTTGCTGGGTGTTTTCGATAGCTGTAAGCAGTCATCTTTACTTCGGTAGGAAGAGTTTGTTAGTATTCATGAAGGAGCTTTACAGTGTTAAGTGAGGTCACATTCTGTGACTTTATAATAAAAAAATTTACATTGACTGAGGAGAACCTGATGAATTCCAGTCAGTCCATCAAGTTGCATTCTTGCAGTTCTAAAAATACTAGTTCAAGGTCCCAAACATTGGTGTTTCAGCTTTTAGTATGGTGTTTTGTTTCTGTCCCTTTGGGATTTAGTAAGGGTGAGAACTTAGCTGTGTGGTCTTCCTGACAGGGTCGGAACCACTGACTTGCTGCAGGAGATAGGAGTTTGGGGTGCAAGTGACAGAAATTCTTAACAGCATAGCCAATAAGGAACTGATGACCTGGTGTGACTAGGGGCCTGAGGCACAGACTTCGTGCTGTGGGGTTAGTGGATTCACAAAGGCATCAGGTACTTGTGTTCTCCACCGTACCACATTTAGCAAATGGAAATATGAGGCATCCAAGTAAACTTGAAATCAAATAGCCAATAATATATTTTTAGTATTAAAATTTGTCCCATGGAATTTTGGGGACATACTTATACTAAAATACTATTCATCACTTGTCTGGAATTCAGATTCAACTGGGGATCCTGCATTTTATGTCACAACGCTATTCACATGCCAACTGTCACATCAGCTTGCTCTTGTCATCAGCATCAGTATCTTGTCCCCCTAAGCAGGAGAGGCAGAAAACTCAGCCACAAAGTTCAAGTCCTTCCTGCAGCCCAGCTGGGCCAACAGAGGCTGCGCTCCTACTACTGTACTGGTCTGGTGACACTCAGCAGGTGGTGCTTACACTCACAGGTTAGTTAGTTAGTGTCCTGGCTAGAAGGGCTTTCGGAATCAGCAATGACATCTTCCAAGCTAACTGTATGGCCTTGGAAAGGTTCCTTTGTGTGTCCAAGTCTCAGTATTTCATTCACAACACAGGGATAAACATGGCGCCCACTGAAGAGTGGCCGTGAGGGACAGAAGAGACAATGCAAGTGGAGCCTTGAGCACAGTGCTTGGCCCCTAGTGAGCAGGGCAAATGTTTCTTACCTTCTCTGGCTACTCCTTCTCTTAAGCAATTCTCTATCAGCAGGTTAGTTCTGTCCACCATGGCTCTTGGCTCTCTACAGGACACACTGCCTTTGTTGGTTTGCATTTGGCAACCCACAGTAGCTGGGACTACTCGAACAGGAGACTCTTGGCTCATAGACCATGGAATTGGTTGAACAGCCCCTAAGGCAGACAGAAATGCTGGCCTAGGGGGATGAGATTTCTGGTCTCAGCTCTCCATGTCCATTGACATTTCTCTAGTGGCCCCTAGTTTCTCCTCAGAATGAAAAATGTGACTGCCAATCACACTGGAGCCATATACTTTATACCTTTGGCCACTACATAAAGGCTGCTCGCTGGCTCTCAGGGAAGAGCTCCCACAGGCCAGGTTTAGGCCAGGGTCCGTTTCAGAGTGAGACACTCTTGGTCAGGTGTCCCGTAGACACAAGACTGCTCCTGCTGTTGCCACGGAAGGGTGCTGGGTGGACAGTGTCACAGTCACCTGCTTTATATGCATTATTAAAACAGTCTTGGATGACAAGTGCTAATCACAGCCAGCCTTACGGCGTGCTCACTCTTACTGTGTACCTTGTGTTGTGCCTCATTTATCACTGTGGATGACCTCATTTAAACTTATGAGGTAAGTATGGATATGGTTAGTGCTGTCTGACTGGGGAAGGAAATGGAGCTCTATGGAGATCAAGGAAGTGAAGCAACTCATGATGGAGCTAAACTTGAACCCCTGCTGGGCACTTGGAACTGCCCTTGGAGACTGTGGGGCTCAGTGAGTCCTCAGTGAGCACCTTATGATGCTGATGTAGATAGGAGAGACATGGAGGAGAAAAAAGTTCAACCCAATCCCATGAGCTGTTGCACTTGCCTTCTAATTAAGGAGGACTCCTCTCAGTTTACTCAGGACCATCTCAGTTAGGCCTCTTGTCCTGACATCAAATTGTATTGTGTTAGCTCTCCTTCACCCCCAAGCCATTTTGGTTCAGATCAATAATGGCTCACTTTAATTCTTTTGATGTTATGAACAGTCAGCCTATGAAATCATTAAAATATATAGAATGTTCACTGGTAATTGGTGCAAACAAGGAGAAATATAGCTCAAAGGTAGGGAGGGAATTTTGGTCAAGTCATGGGAAGGATGTCTTGATAAGTACAGTGTGTGGGGAGGGGAATAGCCCCAGTATTAGGCTATAAGATATCTTGACATTTTATTTACCGTTAGTTCTTAGCTTAGGCAGGTGAACGGTGTGGGTGGGTGGTGTTAAAGTGCCCTCTTCTGTAGCTCAGTGTGGGATGGAAGATGCATCACTAAATTTGTGGGTGTTGGTTGGTTACAGCTTTGGGGTAGGTACACGTGCAGATATGGGAAAGGAGAGACAATTATTTCCTAGACTGTTCACTAGCAGGAAGGTGTGGGAGCCCAGGCCCTGGCCTAGTGTCTCCCATAATACATTGCATGCTTACCCCAAAGACAAAAGGGCAGGCCAAGTATTTAGCTCTCCAGCTGCAAAGTGCAAGCACCTAGTACAAGCTGGAGGCACCAGGAGGCATTGGAATGGGCCAGCTGCCAAGTCAACAGATGTAACATGGAGGTCACAGATGTGCAACCGGAAAAGGAGTAGATGTCCACTGAGTAGCCTGCTGCTTACTGGCCTTGCAGCTGTGGCATCGACTCTTGACTCACAAGGAAGAATTGTGGGACACCTGTTTCCTCACTGGACTCTTCCCAGTTCCTTTCTCAACTTGGAAACGCTCTGCAGTCCTTCAATGGCTCCTTGGTATTCTGTGGATTGCATTTAAGAGTTCTAGATGTATTGAAGGCCCCTTTCCAGACATAGATGGGAAAAACACCACATCCTCCATCTTTACAGTACTCCGGGCTTTTCAGAGCCACATATACATGCAGGCATTTGTGTATGTAGTCTCCCCACTGTCTTCTGAGGTCACACTGGCAGATAGGTCTTTTGTAAAGTCACCAGGCAGTGTCATGGGTGGCGTCCAAGTTCTTTCTTGGATTTGGATTTAACCTTTCCACTTGCTGGCTGGATGGTTTGGGGTGAGCTGTGTAACTTCTCTGTGCTTCAAGTTCTTCCTCATGAAAATGGACACAGTAATGAGATGGATTCCTAACATCCTTACGAGAAATTGCTGTCATGATGCTAGCAATGCCTGGGAGTTGGTGAGTGAGTAATGAGTGTTGGATATTTTACATTTTTCCTGCAGTTATCCAAGGCATGTTGCAGGTTAGAAGAACAGGATTGAAATCCAGACCAGCTGGCTTGAAGTTGTTGGTTCTGTCTTTCATTCTTACACCATTCAAGTGGGGAGAACCAGCCCAGCCTATGTGGAAGTCCTGTCCCCAACCCTCTGCTTAGGAGTGGTGAGAACTAGAAATGCAG